TTAATTTTGTAATTTTTTTAATTTAAAAATATAAATTTTATCAATTTGAAATTAAAATAATAATTTTTTATTTTTTATTTAAAATTTTTATTTAAAAATATGAACTTAGTATTTTTTATATTTAAAAATTAATTAGTTAATGATATTAATATAACAAGCACAAAGTTAATATATTTAAATAAAAAAAACATAGAGTTGATGTCATTAAATAAAAAAATAAAATTAGTATTTTTAAATAAAAAAATTAAAAATTTATTATTTTAACTAAAAATTGATAAATTTTATATCTTTAAATAAATATAAGACAAAATTAACATCTTCATCCATACTTTTTCTCATATCTAAACCTTTACTAGTCTTGTAGACATATACAAACTCCTCCACTTACATGAGCCGAATAGGTGAATAAACTCACACGGTGGTAATGAACAGCACTGGACATAACCAATTGATTTTTTTTTTTTTTTTTTTTTTCCGTATATGTGGATTAAGATATTTTGATGTTCTTTAATAAATAAATTAAAAAAAAGAAAAAAAGAAAAAAAAGAAGAAGAAGCCAAAACAAAACAAAACAAAGGAAGGTGGATTTGAGGAAGTCGTTTAGGCCAACCTATAAAATATTTAAATGTAAAAGGTTTTTTATTTATTGGTGAAAAGAACTTACATAATTTTTTTTCATTTCTTTCTTCATAAGTTAAACTACTTAACTTATCTTATCAAACAAAAAGAATATAAATTTAATATGATAAATGCAAAGTAACTCAAATTACTTGTTAACTTTGACACCCACTTCATAGGATTTGTCAGCCAAAAAATACGATTTAAAGAAAAAAAATAAGAACAAATTTCATATTATTGTTCTTCGGAAGCTGATACTTTGCAATGTAGGATTTTTCTTTTCTTTTTTCCATAATATTTTAGGATTACTGATATTTTTTTGTTTCTGATTTCTGTATATTTGTGAATATAAGTGAGAATGTGGAACCCACCAAAATTAAATAACAAAAAGTTAGTACTGAATTCTGCAATTTGCAAAGACTAACCTTCCTTATCTAACGGCGATACGAATGCAAACCTCTCCCGTATAAGCTTCTCTACCCCTTTTCCTTTCATCAACATAAAGAACAACAATTCACTCTTCTCTACACAATTCAACAGGTGGAGAAATGGCAACGGAGAGGGAGGTGGCTGTTGAGGTTGAACCCCAGACTGGAATTTCATTTCCAGTTACATTGGATGACGGAAAGCTGCAGCTGAATTGTGTTTGTGTGAGGAAGAAATCTATGCTAGGAGTGGGAGTCAAGATTTCTACCAATGGTAAGGATTATATATACTGTCTGCTACAAACTAACCTCTTGGAAATCAGAAAAATGCATGATAAGATTAAATAGATGTAACAAACGCAATGAGTTTGGTGCATCATGACCCTTAACGTTCTCCAATTTACAGGGATGTACACAGATAATGAGAAACTGAAGGATCTTCTCAAGTCAAAGATTGGTGCTGCTCCGGCAAAACCCACCAGCCAAATGTATGATCTGGTAATTGACAGTGATGTGCCTATGACAATAAGGATGGTGATCGTGTTTTCGGGTCTTACCATGAACATGGTAAAGAAAGGCATGGCTGACAATCTTGCAACAGTTATCAAGAAACTAAATGGTGGGAAGAAGAATGATGAGCTCTCAAAAACGTAATTAGTTTAAACCCCCTCTCTTACACACTATATGGTTCTACTTTCCATATGAGATTTCATAACTAAAACTTCACCTCAGGGTTTTGGGACCAGCATCCGATGAAATCAAACTAAAACCTGGTTCTGTACTTGAGTTTTCTAGGCTGCCAGGACATGTTCTCCAAACAAAAGGTAAGTTAGAATTTAGAAAGATGGAAAGATAAATTATAGGATTGCATGCATTTTATATTGTTACCAGACAACACAGGGTGAAGAAAACTTGGTTTAAATGGGTGCAGTGATGGGTGAGATGATAAGCAAGGTTGAGAGTGAACTTCTCTGCAGGGCATTCATCCACGGATATATTGGAGATGACGCTCAAGATAAGGAAACTAAGGAGAGATATGGGATGGCCCTGCTTTCTCTCTTCTAGATGACATGCTGAAAAGAGTTTACAGATTTAAGGAATTAAGGATTCAAATCCACTTCAGAGTAGATTCGATTACATATAAGAATGCACCAGCTGTGTGCTTAATCCATAATTAAAAAAAGAGCATGTATTGTTTAAACCGCAATTTCAATTTACTCTTTGTTTCCTGCAGACCTTGGGTACTCAAAGATGTAATTCTGGTTGTAATAAGCTAAGAAAAGCAACTTTGTTCATTTCACAAAAGAAGCATATCAAAAAGAAATTCGTCTCTTGCTGCACCATGCGACAACACGATCACTAAAATATGCTGTCAGTCAATGTGTGCAGCTAAATACCAAAAGGAAAAACTTAAAAATATCGGGACAAACAAGTTCTTGTATGTTATGTAGAAACCTAAGATTGATGCTATAATTTATAAGAGGAAAAACCATTTACTTCAACGATGGAGTGAGCTAAAGCCATAAAGAGGCCTTCCTGGATCCAACTGACCGCTGCAATAACTTGATGATACAGTGCAGAGCTCCTGACGGCCCTGCCACTCTTCAGAGGGTTTCAAGACAATTTGAGTTTCAACAGCAGCAGAATTTACGCATAGCATTGTTTTGTAATCCCCATTTCCCAAATCTGTGAGAGCCTTGGCCTTCTTTTCCCAAGGATTCCATACAACTGCAGACAAAGTGATTTAGAAATGCATAAGCAAGAAATTCTTATAAGAAGGACAATAACAACAAACTAATTATACCACCAAAGATTAAATAGAAAAGAACCTGCATCTGGCATGCCAGCCTTCCGCAGTTCAAAGGTTCTTTTCTTCCCATGGTCTATAATAGCAATCTTTGTTGGAGTCCTCAAGTATACCCTGTCAATCTAAATCAATGAAGTCCCATAAGTTGATAGAAATTACCAAAGGTTCGTGCATTTGGAAAAAGGAAACATTCCAATACAAACAAAATTTCAAACGACAGAATATAATCAGCAATGATGTCAATCTCAAGTTCACAAGTGACCTATTTCTCATGATTTTTTTTTTTCTCTTTTCGAAGAGAGGACCACCATTTTCATTACCGAAGCCCATCCCTGCATGTCAACTCAAGTTCACCAGTGACCTATTGTTCATGAGTTCCATTACACTTTTTTTTATTACAGAACATATCAAGTACCTCGCCATCAAACGTGACTGCATCTGCCTGCTCTGTGAATCTTTCTCTGTCCATCAAATTATCAAAGTAATCAAGTGTCTCCAGGCCCTCAACACGAACTTCACTGCAAATCAAAAGGCATCATACCACCCCTCAGAAAGGAGATACTGAAAAATCTATCAAACTCATTTTCATAAATAGTGATATACGATTGAATTACAAACTTGTCATTAAAAGAGAACTAAAAGATATATCAGAAAGTCGTTCCTTTTTATAGTTGGTTAGGACTTGGGACCTTTTGCATCAAGCATGCAAGAAAAAAAAATGACCTAACTTCTATCCATCTCATTTCAAGAAGGAGAAATAGGTTCTCAGTCCAAGGGCAAACCCGATGTCTGACACAGATAAGTAGTTGCAAAGACCAAACGTAAAGGAGAAGGCCTTGTTATCTGTATTTCTCACGCGGGGGATCAGAGTTAACTTGCCAGCAGTGAGAGATACACGAAGACGCAATTCAAAGCTGCAAAAACCACCCAGTGAAAACTCCTTGGTCAACACAAAAGATCATACCTTCCTGCATTTAACTTTTCTGGATGTAGAAGACAAATTTGTAAGCATACCTCCAAGGACAGATCTTTAGATCCTCATCATCTGAGGGCCTCAATATCAGATTTACTGATGAATGGTTAGCTGGGGGAAAAGGTGAGGGGTCACGATCAATTGACCACATTCTGTTTCTTGCAAATCCATGTTGCTCCAGCACCCCAAGATTTCCAATCTGCAAAAAGAAGGAATTATTTTATAACATAAAATTTAATGACTGAGGATTAGATCTAATTACAGTGTCCCCTTGAATCCTAAGCATGTAACCTGTGGAAAGAAGATCAGTATGCCTCCCCTGGTGGCTTTAGGTGGTTTTGAACTTTTCTGTGAAATACAGAAAATCAGCACAATTAAGGGAACTTTGAAGCACCAAACTACAACATAAATAACCCAATAAGGGGCAAGAGTTTCATAAAGGAAGGAAAGACTGCAAAAAAGAGTACCATGTAAAGGGAATCCAAAAATTTTCTTCGGTAATATTGTTCATTTAAATTTGATGAAAAGATATCTGGACTTTCCATAATGCATAAGAAGAATTGCTCTACCTTGGTGCTCCTAAAAAGCAGTTCTTCACTTCGTTCATTCTTCCAAGAGACAACCTGACCTCCATACAGTAGCACCTAAATACTTTTATGTCAGTTTGAAGTTACTTTTATACATTAATTTAATAAAAATGGCTGCAAATGATAGAGGGAAAGAACATATACATCTAACAAATCATATGCATCCCTTGAAACTTCTGAAAATCCAAAACTTTTAAGTTGAATAAGCTTCCCAAATTCCAAATTTTCCCATCAATATGATCGATCACTTTTAAGTTTTAAACCATCAACACTTTAAACCCTTATCTACCTGCTTCAGAATTGAATAGGCCACTGCCTGGTATTAAATTCATCAATTTATTGTGGTTTTTAATCGAGATAATAGTTCATTCTTTTTCATCTGCTGCATTTGTTAATCTAATTAATAATTACGCCACATTAACACAAGTCTTTCCTACCTTTTCAGCCATAATTCCTACTTCCAAATTTCAAACAATATCATCTGTCCATCAGACAATGAAAGCACAAGACTTTCCATTCTATCTTCCACAACACCCATTGCATTCACTAATTTTAAACTAGCCCAGACGAAAAAATAAAAAATAAAAAACAAAATGAAGAAGAAGAAGATTGCACAGACCTCTGCAGATGACCCATTTGGCTCAGTAAGTATAATCTTGGGCAATTCATTGGCATCACGAACCATATTCACCGGTATGGCTTTTGGAGGCACCCTAGCCCTGGTGCAGCTCACAATTGGATTCACTTTCCCTTTCCTCCACTCCTTCTGCACCAAAACCAAAGGCACCAGAATTCAAGAAAAGGACAACCAACAAAGATCCAAACCCAGAAACACAATTCTTATCCACCCATCAAAATATTCATAAACAACCCACAAAATTCACATCAAAACCCACTAACAAAAAGCTTTTAAAAAAACAAGAAACATCAAACGAACCCCAGAAAATCATAAACAAATGGGGAAGATTGCAATTGGGATTACGTTTACGAATTGAAAATGATATAATAAAGAACATAGAATTGAAAGAAACTATTACGGTTTCGAATTTGCAGAGCAACCCAACAACGCCAGGTTTTATGAAAAGTCCATGTTAAATGGTAGTGGGATATATAAACAAAGCAAAGATGGGACCTTTGAAGAAATTGAAGGATATCCAAAGAAAGCCTCCAAACAAACCTACACAACTACTTTCACCATTGGATGCTATGCTTGCGGCGTCTCACTCACCCAACCAGTGTTCTCATGTCCCCCGCTCAGTCTTATAGTCAGCCTTGTTTCTTCTTTATGGGTCCCATTCTTTTGAGTAAATCTGTGGTAACCACTAACTGAAAGGAAGGAAAATAATTTGGGAATGGTTATTTTATATTAATTTTGTATATAATTTTATATACTATTAAAATAATAAATTCTTTTTATTTAATTGATATTTACAATAATAAATTTATTTATTTATTTAAAAACATATAAAAATTATATAAAAAAATAATATAAAAAATTATCTCTACATCATCATCATTAAATCAAAGATAGTGAATTATTTATGTCAAAATAAATTAAGAAGTTTTGTGAGGAATTATTTTTTTTTGCAAGTATATAGTTACAATATAGGTAAGATTGTAAATTTATATAATTATAATATATTATTTGA